ACCATGGGAGTCAGCCGGTGACATGGGCATGGGCTCCCTGAGTTATATTACATGTTATACCATCCTGAAGCAGCCAGCCTCAGAGAATGCTGGAACAGCCCTCTAAAGGCACACCTGAATCAGCAACTCAGAGGCAATATCGTGAATGCGGTGCCATCCCCAGGATGCAGTATATTCCTACATGAAAGACTTCTATACTTCTATGTGGGGCTCAGTCCCCAGCAAAGAGAACACAACCTTTGCGTGTGGAGAGGGAACGGGAGCAGCCCCACTTACCATCGCTCCCAGTGACCCAGGCACAATGGGGAATTTTGTGCCTCCCATCCTTGCAACTCTGAGCTCCTCAGTGCTAAAAATTCTGGTCTCTACAGGGTATACAGACTCTTACCAGGAGACACAGAAAGTGTCTCATTGAACAACAAAGTGTACTTACCACTAGGACACTTTGGACTCACTGTGCCCAGGGCCCGGAAAGTCAACACGCTGGCTGTGGTATTTGATCCTAATCAGCTGAAGAAGGTGGTGCTGCTTTACGATGAAGACAGGGAGAATATGTGTCGAATCTAGGAGGTGTACTTGAGCACCTTCCCGTGTTTCCTTGCCTCCTGATTCCAGTGTTCTAGACACAAACAGCAAATGCTGTCTGAAAAAAAGGTGTGGTATGATTGCCAAGGCCCCAGGCTGTCAGGAGTGAAAGTTTGAGTCACAGCACCAGGGGAGCCAGCAAGGCTTGCCAAGATAACAGCTGAGTGTGTATGTGTGTGTGTGTGGGGGGGGGGGGCTGGGGGATTTGGAATGAATAATGGATTAGAGAGAGGATGAGGACCTGAAACCTACCACAGCACTAGGAGCTACTGTTTGTCCCACTAACCTTCCTCTTCAAAGGTTTCCCTCAGAAAGAGAGGCCACAGGAACCATGGAGGAGCCTCCCCCTGAACTTGAAGAAGTTGATCTCTTTGGCGTAAGAAGTAGAGTTTGCTGACCATTAAAAATACAGCTCAAGGGCCTCTGGTTGGCTCAGCTGGTGAGGTGTCGGACTCTTGATTTGGGCTCAGGTCATGATCTTGCAGTTCATGGGATCGAGCCCCTCGTCAGGCTCTGCTGACAGCACAGAACGTGCTTAAGATTCTCTCTCTCCCTCTTTCTCTGCCCCTCCCCTGCTCATGCACACACTCTCTCTCAACAATAAACTAATAAACATTTTTTAAAGGATACAGCTCAGATCTCCTGCTGTGCCCAGGCAGCTCCCAGCCACTCACCAAGCATGGTATAGGTACTAATGAAGGCCTGTTCTGAGAATTGTGGAACTCCTTTAACAAGAGATTTTAACCAGCAACTCTTCATTAGCCTGGCCAAAGCTTTCTTAGAATGGTACTTCAGTCTGAGACCCTTCTACCAATCCCCTCTTTCATTCCTTACAGAGGGAACTCTCGGCTGAGTCGCAAGATACTCTCTGCTTTCTCCAGCTTTCTTTCTCTGTCCTTCACGGGCCTTTCCCCCAATGAATTTCTTGAACAGAAAATCCTGTCTCAGTGTCTGTTTCTCAGGGGATCTGAATTGACATAAAAGCTAACTGTTATTATTTTTATTATCTTAAGTTTCTCTACCTTTTTCTTTAACTGTAAAAACTTTGGTGGGATAGAGGGGAGAGGATAATTGGGTCTAAAAATAGTTATATACACTTGGCACTATACCATAGGAAGTAATTCTCAAATTTCTAGACATTTGTAGTATTCTCAGTAATAGGAGTATATATATAGATATATACATACATACACACACACATATACATATATATATATGCTATCTGTATATATATATCCTTTGTTACATCCTTATACATTTGTGATTTTCAGAGGAAGGATTCTTTGCTTTAAAAGCTCTCACAGTTCCAGTATATTTTTAAAAACATGTCTTTTGTTCAAAAGGCAATACATATTCATTTAAAAATAATAGTGAGATAAAGTAAAATGTTATAACAAGTTAAGTGGGGATTAGGGACAGGAAAAGTGAAGGGTATCTATATTGACTGAAGAATTTTGAAAAGTCAGCAATAGATGGAATGAATTATTGATCTACTCAATAACATTGAAAAAGCTCAGAAACACTGAGTGAAAGAAGCCAGATACTAAAAGTATACTCTGTATGGTTCCATATATATAAAATTCTAGAAAAGGCAGACCTTCTCTATAGTAACAGAAAGCTCTTCAGTGATTGTCTGGAGTTGGGGTGGGGGGGGTGGCTGGGTGGGGAGTTGACTGCCAAGGGGAATGAGAGAATTTTTGTTGTCATGGAAATGTTCCGTATTTCGATTGTGGCAGTTACATGAGTTGTGTGTACATCTTTGTCAAAGCTTATTTAACTGTACACTTAAACTAGGTGCATTTTATTATATATAAATTATGCCTTAGTTGATTTAAGAAAACAAAACACGATATTCAACTTTGGAATAATCTTGGAATAAGATTCCTCATCCAGGCCACCATCTTTTCTTACCTGGGTTTTGTAATACCCTTCTGACTGGATTTTCTTTTAGGAATCAAGCTTCCCTCCAATCTGTTCTTCACTCTAAAGCCCGAGTGATGTTTCCAAAAGAGTGATTAAGTTACTCCCAGTAACTCCCATTTTTTTTCACATATATCAGTCAGGGCTCAGAGAAAGAGAACCACTAAAATAGATGTAGGTATGCAGACATAGATACTTGTTATAGAATTTTGACCTTACACAATTATGAGAACTGGATGTTCACCTGGTAATCTTCTGTTGCTGGAATCTGAAGTCCACAGGGCAGCCAGTTGGAAAGGGAAAATGGATGTGACCCTTCAATAACAAGCTAGAACTCACAACCACAAGAATGAACTGAAACCTCTCAGACCTTGCTGCCTGTGACCTTGGTGGTATGGGGCAAAGCTGGGGCCCTCCATTACCATGGAGTTAGACACACACCTGGCCGAGAAGTCAAGGAAGCTGAAGGAAGATCCGACAGAAGGGGAAGCAGTTGCAAGGCTCAGCCACTGCCTTCTCATCAAGGTGAGCCAGCAAAGCCACAACATGTATCTGCTATAAAAAGGAGGCTGCTTCACTTCCCCACTCCAAATCTCCCACAAGAAATGTCTTATGGCCAGCACTGACCAAAAACATACAGTAGAGAGAATTCTAGGAAATGTATGTAGTTCAGCCTGACCCCTTACAAAACCATCAGACCCTTACCTTGAATGACTTCCCATTACTTTTATATCCTTAACAAAACTTGTAAGGTTCTTTGTGACCTGTCTTCCACCAGACTTTCTGGCTTTATCTCCTACTCCCCCCACCCCCTATCTGAGGCCATTATGTATTTGTGTTCAGTACAAATGTTCGAACATTTCTAACCTTTTCACACTATCGCTCCTGGCTGAAATACTGTTCTGCCTTCCCTATCTTCCCCTTAACCTAGCTGAGACCTATTCACCGTTATGGGCTCAGCTTCTTTTAGGAAACCTTCCCTGACACATCCCTTTACCATTGGTGGCCAGTACAAAACCAGGTCCATAGTTAGAACCCAACAAATTTCAGTTGAATAAATTAGTATGTGCCAATGACAAAACTGAGTATAGCTGAATGAACAGGGCTGCAGCCCTAGGCACATAGGGGATAAAGTGCTATAGGGAAGGTCTATGGGTGGCAATATATTCAGCCTATTAAAATGTGTGGAACACTATTCACTCCTGCAGAAATATACACATTCCATTTATCCCCTTATTCACTCGATCTCTTTGCTACATAAACCCCCATTGCAACAGATACTTCTTGTCTTAGTTTCAGTCCCCCACAAAGCAGAGCCTTAACACAAGGTAGGTAGTTTGGGAGGTGATTCCTGGGAGTAGGATTAAAAATCAGGGAGGGAGGAGAGGGAAGGGGGAAAAACCCAGTAAAGGGAGTTATTGAGCTGGTTAATGCCCTGAGCTGCCCCACTTCCCGAGGACCTTTATCTCCATGAATCACTAGGTGCCACCATAAGTACAAGAAGAATAAGAAACACCAAACCAATTTTACCTCCTCCTTTCAGAGAACTCATGATTTGGGAGTTTAGGGAAATTTCACTAATTTTATCTCTGTATAGATAGTATGAAGAAAAGAGAGAGTGGGGGGACACCTGAGTGGCTTAGTTGGTTGGGCGACCGACTTCGGCTCAGAGCATGATCTCACAGTTCATGAGTTCGAGCCCTGCGTCGGGCTCTGTGCTGACAGCTCAGAGCCTGGAGCCTGCTTCGGGTTCTGTGTCTCCCCTCTCTCTTCCCCTTCCCTGCTCACGCTCTGTGTCTCTCTGTCTCTCAGTAATAAATAAAGGTTAAAAAAAAACAAAGGTAGAAGGGGTAAACAGCTCATCGTTGGATGACTGCTTTATTCAAAGAATGTTGCTCAACGATGCAAACTCCCAGTTATATGCACATTCCTTCTCCTTATGTTGTATGTGAATGGTAAGCCTGGGGTGGTACAGGGCAACAACCTTGCCTAGCACAGAGCAGCTACTCACCAAATGTTTGTGGAAGGGACAAGAGCAGGTGAAATATCAAAGAGTTGTTTGACCAAGGGTATGAGGAAAATATAGATCAGTGTTTCTCATACGGGGACTATTTTGCCACCCAGAAAACACCTGGCAAGGTCTAGAGACATTTTTGGTTGTCACAACTAGAGAAGAGGGTGCTACTGGAATCTTGTGGGTCAAGACAAGGATGCTGCAAAGCATCTGATAATATATAGGACACCTCCCCTTCCCCCAACAAAGAATTATCCTGCCCAAGATATCAGTAGTGGCAGGGGTGAAAAATCCTGACACAGATAAAGGTTATCTGGGCATTAATATATATATCTATATAGATATATAGAGATAAATATTGATACATTTCTATAGACATTTTATTTCTTCACTTAAGATAGTTTATAACATTTTTAAAAATCAATGTCTAATTACAAATGATTTGCCCCTAAAAAAGAAAAAAAAAAAAAAAAGATTTGCCCTACATGGCAGCAATACAAAGTGTTGCGTTAGTACCACCAAAACCAAAGGAATTGGTGAGTCCAATACGTCTTTTCTCAATTTTCCATTCTTGTGCCTTTAGTGGAACATAATTGAGATCAAACTCTGGTTCTGTACAATCCAGGTTTAAAGTAGGTGGTAGTTTTTGATGATAACAAGCCAGAGCAGTAAAAGCTGCCTCAACTGCCCCTGCAGCTCCCAACAGATGTCCCGTGGCTCCCTTAGTTGAAGAAACCGCAAGGGCACGGGTATGGTCTTTGAAAAGATGTTTGATAGCTTTGTTTTCAGCAGCATCTCCCAATGGTGTGGAAGTAGCATGTGCATTGACATAGGATATCTCTTCAGGTTGTACACTTGCATCTTTTACAGCTGCAGCCATACATCTAATAAAATAGGGGAAAAAATGATCAGAACTAAGTCTAATTTTAACACACGAGTCATTATATGGCCTATGAGAAAGAAATACACATATATACAGGATAAAAAGAATCTTTTGCTCTAATAACAAAACCCCAACTTGGATTACCACACGCATTAGCATGCCACCTGCCTAGTACCCTGGACTAATTCAACACCATGAGATAAATACACAAGCCTATGGGTTTTAAAACCTCTAATAAAATATATTTCCATTTATTTGGATTGATATCTTTCCCTGGGAGAAAAACCACATTGACTCAGCCTAGAATAGTTTTTCTTCTAGCAATCTATCTTTCTTTCTTTCTTTCTTTCTTTCTTTCTTTCTTTCTTTCTTTCTTTTTCTTTCTTTCTTTTCTTTCTTTTCTTTCTTTCTTTTCTTTCTTTCTTTTCTTTCTTTTTAATTTTTTAATGTTTATTCTTTAAGAGGAACAGCAAGCAGGAGCAGGAGACGGGGAGAGAGAAGGGGACAGATGAACCAGAGCAGGCTGTGCGCTGACAGCACAGAGCCCGATGCGGGGCTCATACTCGCCAACTGTGAGATCATGACCTGAGCCAAAGGCAGATGCCCAACCACCCAACTGACTGAGCCACCCTAGGAATCTTTCATCAGTGGGATGTGTGTGTGTGTGTGTGTGTGTGTGTGTGTGTGTGTGTAGTGATTCCAAATAGGGAGAAAAATTTTATAACCATGTTTTAATTTTCTTCTCATATTTAAATGTAAAACTTGGCATATTTCCCAATAATCTAAAAACGTCTGTACCAATACTTTGGTGCTTCAGATAACCTTTCAAGGGGCACCTGGGTGGCTCAGCTGGTTGAGCGTCCGACTCGATTTCAGTTCAGGTCATTATCTCACAGGCCTGCGTCAGGCTCTAGTTGGGATTCTCTCTCACTCTCTGCCCCTACCCCGCTCACACTCTCTCTCTCAAAATAAATAAACGTTTTTAACAAATAACCTTTCAAAATTCTATTTAAGCTATAAGAATTCTAAGTAAGTGAGCAAGTATAAAGCCAAGCCAAAACAAACAAATACGAAAATAAAACTTTTCTCTCGAAGAACCTTTGAAACAATCTCAGGAATGTCAACACCCTCTTTTTTAGATCCTGATCTCTGGGTTGCATATATTTCCTTAAGAGGCAGCTTAGAATGTAATTTGAACTTTCACCTAAATACAACTATTTCTGCATCTAGCTGGCTACTATGTTTGACATTTCTAGCACCAGCAACTACTTACTGAAACTCAAAAGGATAATTCAGTGGGTCAGTAAACTATGGCTCTAGCCAGATACCTGCTTTTACAAATACAGTTGACCCTTAAATAATATGGGTGGGTCCACCTGCGGGTTTTTTACGTAACTATCCTGTAAATGTATTTTCTCTTCTTTATGATTTTCTTAATAACATTTTCTTGTCTCTAGCTTACCATGTAAGAATATAGTACATAATATGTATATAAAATATGTGCTCATTGACTGTTTATGTTACCAGTAAGGCTTTTTTGTAAACAGTAGGCTATTAGTTAAGTTTTGGAGGAGTCAAAAGTTATACATTAAATTTTTGACTGCATGGGGGTCAGTGACCCCTTGTTCAAGGGTAAACTCCAGTTTCACTAGATCACGCCCATTCATTTATGTATTGTCTATGGCTGCTTTCACAAGAGAAGACACAATTGAGTAATTGTGACAGAGACCCTATGGTCCACAAAGCTGAAAATACTCTTTGTCCCTTTACAGAAAAGGTTTGCCAACCCCTGGTCAATTTGACTGGTTAAAACATAATATGATCGGGGCGCCTGAGTGGGTCAGTCGGTTAAGTGTCCAACTTCAGCTCAGGTCATGATCTCGCGGTTTGTGAGTTTGGGCCCCATATCGGGCTCTGTGCTTGACAGCTCAGAGCCTGGAGCCTGCTTTGGATTCTGTGTCTCCCTTCCTCTCTCTCTCTCTCTCTCTCTCTGCCCCTTCCCTGCTCGCGCTCTGTCAAAAATAAACATAAAAAAAAAATTATGATCTAAGCAGGCTAACCTATTAGCTAACACATTAACGGATTTTTTTTAACTTAATTATCTCTTATGCAATATCAACTTGTTTTTCAAAGTGTGGTCCTCAGACCAGCAGCATCAGCATCAGCATAATGGGAGATTGTTAGAAATGCAGAATCTCAACCACCACCCTAGACCTAGAATCAGAATCTGCATTTTAATATCCCTGGATAGTTACAAGTTAGGAAGTCCTGATTTAGTAATAGTAGAACCCTGTTGAAATGGTGCAAAGACCAGACACAACTAGAAGAAAGGTTTGACTTTACTGTCTGAGTCTGATGAAGGGCCAAAGAGGAGGACTGTGGGAGGGAGCACTCTGACAGCTGTTAAGCACAATTGAAAGTATGAAAAGTTGGCAAAGACACACATGGCCTTTCTCAAAACTTTACTGGCCTTAACTAAAATCCAATTTTTATTAAGGATGGTTAAAAGCTTTCAAATATTTCAAACGTGTTGAAGCAAAGAATTCAAAACCTTTTTAAAACGGAAAAACACCAAAGATACTGTGTACCAGAGGCAGATACTACAATTTCCCCTAATTTGAGATTCCAATTAAGATGCCTTATGTGAAGAAATATTTTAAATAAAACAGCAAGTCTTTACCTTAAGGCGCCTTCTCCTTCGGGATCAGGTGCAGTTATGTGACCAGCATCACCTGAGAGGCCATAGCCCAAAACTTCTGCATAGATCCGGGCCCCTCGTTGAACAGCATGATCGTGTTCCTCCAGTACCATCACAGCTGCACCTTCTCCCATTACAAAACCATCTCTCTTGGGGTGAAACGGCCGACAGGCCAGCTTAGGATCAGAGTTTGTGCTCAGAGCACGGGCTCTGGAAAACCCAGCAAGAGATAAAGGGCTAATGCAAGAATCTGCACCTCCAGCCACCATCACATCAGCATCACCATGGGCTATAAACCTAAAAGAGTCTCCCACGGCATGAGCTCCTGTGGTACAGGCTGTAGACACTGCATGATTGGGGCCCTTGAGTTTATATCGAATGCTGACCTGCCCTGCTGCCATATTGACCAGAATCTTCGGGACAAAGAATGGGCTGACTTTACTGTAACCTTTTGTCTGAAACATCAAAGCAGTTTCAGAAACAACTTCAAGAGGAACCATTCCCATGCCAATTGCAACGCCAGTAGCCACTCGATCGGCTTCTGATTGAGGACGCCAGTCAGAATCTTTCATGGCTAACTCTGCAGCCCCAATGGCCATAATGGTGGGAGAAGACATGGACTTGATATCTGACCTGGATACAAAGTTTTGTTCGTTGAACTGACCGTCAGCACAACCTCTTGGCACTAAAGCAGCAACACTGCAAGGGATACTCTTATATTCTTCACCGACCAGTGAAACAATTCCACTCTCTCCCCGGATAAGACGATCCCATACCAGCTGCGTTCCAACACCAAGAGGAGTCACTAAACCAATGCCTGTAATGACAACCCGCCTACGAATTCTGGATGTTGGCACAGTTCCAAAAAACCTCCTTTTATTTCCTATTAATTGCTGGCATAATCTTGAATATAGATGAGGGCTTGTAAGTTTTAAGAAATTTTGCAAGCAATTTGACAACATGGTTGAGATTCAGATGATCATAAACACATTCCTGTACATCATAACACGCCCAGGAGGTAACCACTGTTGTTTAAATAGTTTATAGGCCTAGGAAACAATAGCAGAAACGGTTCTTTCAGGTGCTAGGTGTGAGCTGTTAATGAACACAGAGAAAATAACGTTAACATCATTTTAATTTATACTTATTAAACGAATCATTTGGAGTTCCCTTTTTTGATTGTAAGTACCCTCACATTCCAAGATGAAGAGGTGAAATGATGACTCAATTCACCCAAATAGAATTACACTAGGTAAATTACAAAGGCATTTCCAGCCCTTTAGGGGCTGCATAAAGGAAGGAGCCTTTTTCAGGATTATCGAGGCCTTATTCTAACTATTTCTGGCATCAGTGGCACACAAAAAAAACCACTTCAAGGCCTATTCTCTGAGGTACGGGTAAGTGAACTTTACTGATCTTCAAAACGTGGAGATAATTAGGGTTTTTCATCAGGAGACGGGAAGTGAGGGGCGTGGCCAACTCCTCCCTCCCCTCCCTCCCTCCCTCTCCCCCTCTCCCCCCACCCCCTGCCTCTCAAGCACCACCACACACACTAAGAAAGCATGGCTAGAGGAAGAGAAGTCAGGCGAAGATCATCAGACTCCCCTTTCCCGATCCAACCCCCACCCGATCTGCCGGTGGAGAGGCGGAAGGAGAACGCTAGCACGCCGCTGATACCTTCACCAGGCGTCGCACCGGCCGCGCAGCCGCCCTCTGCATTCGCACGTCCGCTCATGCGCGCGCCCACGCACGCGCTACGTGTGGGGGGTGGGGGCTGCCGGTTGCTCTTTCTCTGTCACCTTGACGGAGGTCAGACCCTGGGAGGTGGCGGCGCTCAGCTTGCTAGGGAGGAAACTCCCCTCCCTCGACTTCACTGACTGTAAGCTAGACAAGAACGCGCACAGAACGCGATGAGGTAGCCCTTTTGCCCATCAAAAAAAGGACTTTTGTTTTGTCGGTAAAGATGATGTCCAGATAGTTCCATCTTGTGGAAGAAGGGACACCGCCATATTCTACTGAAATCTTTGTAAAGAATTAAGGAAACTACAGGAGCCTCAAAGTTGTTACTGTTCTTTCTAAGGTTGTTTATAATAGTAAAGTAGAACTAACCAAAATGCCCAACATCAGGAAATGGGTTATTTTGCAGTACATCTAAAAGCTATGCAGCCATTTAAGATAATTTTGTAAGTTAATACTATATAGAAAAATGTTAAAAGTATGTTAGGAGATGACAGGTTACAAGATGGCATATATCCACTTAAATTTATGTGTGTGAATGTGTGTGTGTGTGTGTGTGTATATATATATATATATATATACACATATACACAAAATATTTACATTTTATGTAATGAGTCACCTGAGGGGCTCAGTCGGTTGAGGATCTGACTTTGGCTCAGGTCATGATCTCCTGATTTGTGAGTTCAAACCCAGCCTGCTTCAGGTGGTCTGACCCCCCTCTCCCTGCTCTTGCCCTGCTTGTGCTCTCTAAAAAATGAAAACATTACCTGTTGGGATGAGCACTGGGTGTTGTATGGAAACCAATTTGACAATAAATATCATATTATAAATAAAGAAAAAAAACATTTTGGGGTGCCTGGGTGGTTCAGTCGGTTGAGTGAACGACTTCGGCTCAGGTCGTGATCTCACAGTTCGTGAGTTCGAGCCCCGCGTCAGGTTCTGTGCTGACAGCTCAGAGCCTGGAGCCTGCTTCAGATTCTGTGTCTCCCTCCGTCTCTGCCCCATCCCCACTCATGCTCTGTCTCTGTCTTAAAAATAAATAAAACATTAAAAAAAATTTTTTTTAAGAAAACATTTAAAAAATGTATATATGTGTTGTGTGTGTGTATGTGTGTGTGTGTGTGTGTATGTATATATGCATTGGGGCAGGGCTCAAAATGCCACATGGATGTCCAACGAACAGAGACAAGAAGGGGCGCCTGGCAGTGAGTTGGTGGAGCATGAGATTCTTGATCTTGGGATGGGGAGTTTGAGCCCCGTGTTGGGGTTAAGTAGAGATTACTCTAAAAAATAAATACAAAATAAAAATTTTTTAAAAATTTAATGGAGACAAGAATAGAGATTGTAGACATTTATTTCTAAGTGTCTAAAAAATATAATAACTTCATTTACTCAGAGCTAGCTGTGAATCTATGAAAATAGAACATGAAATTGTAAAAAGCAAGATCAGCAAGATACTTATTTAGATGACCATCTGTTGTTCACATGCTGTCCCAGGTGTGAGGTTTATGTCCTTTTTTCTTCTTTATTTTTTTGAGTTTATTTATTTATTTTGGGAGAGAGCATGCTCAAGCAGGGAAGGGGCAGAGAAAGGGAGACAGAATACCCAACTCAAAGCTCAGTCTCATGACTCTGAGATCACCACGTGAGCCAATATCAAGAGTCAGATATTGGGGCACCTGGGTGGATCAGTCCATTAAGCATCTGACTTTGGCTCAGGTCATGATCTCACAGTTGTTGTGGGTTCGAGCCCTGTGTCAGGCTCCTTGCTCACAGCTCAGAGCCTGGAGACTGCCTCCGATTCTGTGTCTCCCTCTTTCTCTGCCACTCCCCTGCTTGTGCTCTGTCTCTCAAAAATAAATAAACATTAA